TAAATTTAAAAGGAAGTCAGTTTATACTAGAAATCCTAACAATGTTTCTTGTCTGATTATAAAGAACTTAATTCCGGCATTACTTAATGAAGCCTGAAGCCTTAATAAGCCTGAAGCTGAAAGCTGTAAGCACCTGAAGAGGTAGGCCAGACTCAGACAGAAGCAGGCAGGTACCCTCATAGCCAGCCTTCAAGGGCTTCATTCACCTCTGTGTCACAGAAACCCTCCAGCTCTCCTTTCAGCACATCCACCTGCCACGGGAAGACCAAGCCCTGCCCTTCTCCACTGCTGCAAAAGACCTTTTTCCCCCCTAGCATAGGATGCTGAGCCATTCAGGCCTGAGCAATGAGGAAGGTGGGCTAGCAGGGGCAGAGAGTATAATGTTATCTGCTGTCCATGTAGAAGAGACTTGTGCCTCTCTTGTTCTAGGGGAATGTGACTTTCCTGGACATAGTGTTTTTCTACTTGGAAGATTTTGAGATGCGTTATTATTCCAAGGGGAATCTCAGAAACCTCTCTGAAACATGTCTTCTAGCACTCAGAGAACCACAAGAACGAGAGGAGAATCTCTTGCCTGTGAGGACAGCGAGTCTGTGAAAGTCAGAGACCACTCTGATCCCTGAATTGTGAAAAGCACAAATATAAACCCAAGGGCTCTCTGGGGGCTGGAGCCACAAAGACTGTGCCACACTGCCATGGCAGAGCTGATGGCAAAACCACCAAGCAGCGCAGGGACATACACAGGCCATCAGCAGCTGAACAGGGAACCCAATCCTGCTCCATTGGGATGAGATGCCACCAGAGACACATTAGGGGCTAATGGGCTCCTGTAGACTTAGCAGAAAAAAGCCCTCTTGACCTGACTGGGCTGCTCTGAAGGGAAGATACGCTGGGAGCTTCTCTGCTTACTTAGAGGCTTCACTCTTCTAATCCGGGTGGGACCTTCCTCCTCAGGAAGCTGCTCTTCTCAGGCCTCCTCACCACGCTGGGCTAAACTCCAAGCTCTGGCAAATGCCCAGCCCAGCTAACCCAGCCACAGTGGCAGGGGCGGGGAAAAAAGGGGGACTAACCTCCACGCTCGGGCAATGCCCCAGCCCAGCTACCCCAGCCACAGTGGCAGGGGCTGCAAGAGAAGGGGGCTCACAAGAGACTTTCAAGATGAGATGGGATCCTTTCAGCCCCAGGCCAGTCTCACACTCCCCAAGGGAACACAGCCATCACTTCCAGAGCTTGGATGAAGGAGACAGCTATATAAGGGTGGAGCAGAAAGGGAGGCAGCAATTCAGTCACCTTCCCACTGCTCTCAAATTGGGTTCCCCAGCTCTCTCCAGATATCAGAAGGGATCTCCCTCCTAATTCAGTTTCTCAGGAGCAGCTGTTTCTACTGCAGCACCTTTTTACCAGGCATGAAGAATCATTTTCCCACACTGACAGCAGCATGTGAAAGGATAATTTTGCCCCCATTTTGCATGGAGAGTCTGTCTACTTCTCTCCTGGGATTCAGATGGTTTGGAAGGGGTCTGGAGCAGCAATAAGGTAAGTGTTATCCTGAACACAGGCAGGAAGGCCTCTGGGTTGACAGTGGCCCTGCTCAGGTAGCAGAGCATCCGCCTCCTCCTTCGCCAGAAGGGCTGCTCGCTGCAGCTGGGGTGCCTGCTTTGGAGAGGAAGGAATCGGGCTGATGCTTGGCTGGACAGCCCTGGGAAGAACAGCCAAAAACCTACGAGGGAGCCGGAGCGCGTGAATAAGCAGAGCAACTTCCCCAGGAGGCTCTGGGAAACACAGCAGCGTCTCCCCCCGAGCAAACATTTCCTGCCTGGGGGTCAGCCTCCCAAACACTGTGCAGTGAAGGATCAGTCTCTAGAGAAGGCAACTCTGAGTTCGTTTGCAATAGAGAGCAGAGAAAGCAGCAGAGAGCAGCGAGGCCGGCAAGGAAGAGATTCTGATCAGCACGTAGACTGCAAGAACGGAAAGGCAAGGACTGATTGTGCAGCCTAAAGCAGACCAGTGAGCATCTTCACTCAGGCCAAGGTTGTCGAGAGCGCAATCCAGTCATGCTGCACAGGTTTTGTCAGCATCGAGACACTGCAGGGAGTGCAGCAGGTTTGACAGTGCTGATAGAAGGCACGAGAGAGGAAGAGCGAGGGGAAAAAAGTTTACTAAAAGAAACAACAGCCACAAAGTACTACTGAGAGAAGGACTAAATCCCTTCCCCTGGCTCTCTGTGGCATGAACTTGCAGGAGGCCCTTCTTGGGGATCATGCTAGTCTCTTCTGGCCTTCCATCTATCATGAGATGACAAACATGAAGGAAAGAAAAACAGATCTTTTGTATTGCTGTTAGAGACAAAAGCTAAATTGTCTTTGAGTGCAGGTACCTATAAAGATGTCAAATGCTACCAACAGCCCTCAACATATTTGCCTTCTGTTTACACAGCTGTATCCCTGCCTAAGGAAGAAAGAGGACATGCTTGTGTTTGTCTTTGGAGAAAAACACAGACAACAGAGCTGGGAAGTTTAGAGCTGTTATTTGACCAGACACCCTAACACGGACCTTAGGTCCTACCTGGGGAGCAAGTGCTTTGGGCACAGCTCTTCACTCAGTATTTTATGAGCTAGCAAAAGGCAAGAAATCACTCCTCGAATGTCACGCTTGGGTATGGAAACTCTTCTCAGTACCTTAAGCAGAGCCTGCTATTCCCTGCTCAGAAATGGCAGTGACTAAAAGTGATGGATGTGGAAAGAAACAACCCTGAATGTCCTGCTTGCAAGGAAACGGCTTCTGCAAGCACATGTTTCTGGCCTATTCTTGTGGGGATCTGGAACAGTAACACAAGTCTAGGCAGCCTGTGAGCACCCAGGTGAACTGCCACTTGCACCTTTCCCAGTGCTGGTCCCTCAGTAGAGTTTGTTTCAGGCCAAAAGTGCCCCTAAGCTGCTGCCACAACTTCAGATTAGGATGGGAGTGAGAGGAGGATTCCTTCCAATTTCCCTTGCTCACAGCAGGACTGACGGAGAAGGCCAAGACACTCTGTCCTAGGCCAGTCTGCCCAATAAGGAAAGGTAAAGCAAGCCCCTGCCCCCTTTGTATCATGCTCCTTCCTCCTACGTAACAGGCCCTGATCCTCCCTGCAGAGACAGCCGGTTCGTTGGCTGGACATGTCAGAGCTGGCAGGAATTATTCCTCTGCAGGGGCGAGGGCTCAGAGACACAGGCACTGCCACTTCCTGGAGGTCAGGTTCCCTTTCTGAGAGGCTGAGTCATAAATATTTTGGATCCCACAGAGCTCAGGATATTTTATGCCATGTTCAAGACCCTTACACTCCTTTGGAAATGTGCAGTTTATCAATGCCCGCACTCAGCTGCCCCAGAGACTCTGCTAACAACGTTACAGCTAGATAACAAGGAAAAGCTGGTCAGCCACCCTGCTCCAGCTTTTCAGCCTGCCAGGCATTTTGCAGAGGCCATTATGGAGCTCAAAGCAAATCCAGTGTCCTACGGAGGGGCTCATTTGTGGTCACTGGTTGGGACCGGAGGGAACTGGGCACTGGGAGCTATCACAGTTCAGCTTAGGACCGTTGCTCACTCTACAGTTTTCTCCTAGCAAGGTAGGAATCACTCTCAGGATGGGCCTGAAACTCAGAGGGGCTGCTAGTGGAGCAGGATGCACTGGCAGCACCATGGGCACCAGGAAAGCTCTAGGTTCTTTCTGGTTTACTTTACATGCATCACTAGTATCTCCCAGTCAAGCATCTTGCAGAGGGCAGTGGACAAGTGGTAAACCTCAGTTTACTGTTCTCTGCAGCAGATTTTTTTCCGGAATCGCCATCCTGCAAAGTTTTCACCATTTTGACTTTTTATGTTTTCATCTCTACCTCCCAGCACTGGCAGAGAGCATTGTGCACGCAAAGAGACAACCTCGATCCAAAACAGAAGTTGGTAAAGAAGCCTGGTTTGCCTCGTAACCTCTATTCAAAGGCTGCAAGAGGAAAACAAGGACAATGAGCACTGATATGGGTGTCAGGAGAGCTGGCTTTGCTCCAAGCTCCGCTCTAGCCCTTAGGTGAATCACTTCTTCTTAGCGTGACTCAACTTTACTCCCGCTGTGAAGCCTCCCGAGCCATTCGCACTACATTCGCCACCAGGATGATGAGGCGCTTTGCGGAGGAGTAGTGCAGAGCATGGCACAGCCAGCTCTCGCAGGATGACGCCCAGACAAGGCGCTAATGAGGCAGCGCAGCAACGGGCAGTGAGGGCCCCAGGCGGAGGGTGCAGGAGACACACGTGTGCTGTCAGTGGCAGAGGTCAGGGAGGGGATGCCTTTGTGGAGTTATTTTGACTTAAATCTGGCAAAGTTTCAATATGAAAAAAGCTCAATTGTTGTTAGACTGGTTTGAGCGTAAGAAAATCTCTTAGCCAAACAAAATAGCATCCAGTTATTGTTCTTTCACTGAACCGTTGATGTGAGCAAGCAACTGCGCCTAGGAGCTCTGTCCCCTCCAATCCCACATCCCACCCTGGCTGGAGCACCTGGCGCGGGCAGGCAAGCAGCCCCGCGAGCATGCGTGGCAGCTCAGCCATCCTGGCAGCCCCCCGCAGCGAGGTCCCGCGAGCGTCTGACAGCTCTCTTCACAGCACGGCCCTGGAAGCAAGCGCTGCCCGCAACTCCGCTCTCACCTCGCCCGTCCCCCTTCCCTGTGCTTAATGCCAAGGGCTCTGGAGCAGCGACTGCCGTTTGCTTCGGGCTGTCCTGGTGCCCCCCGCAAGGGGTCTGGCCCAGACCTGGGACTTTCAAGCACTACCACAGCGGTGAAAGCAAACAGCTCCGTCCTGGGAAGAGGAGGGCAGATGGCAGCAATTGCTGGCCTGGTCCCACTTCGCCTCATCACTGCGCTCTCCCTGGCCAGCACAGTTTTCTAACGTTTGCCACGCAGCCAGGGCCTGCCCAGCAACCGAAGCCACCCGTTAAAGATAAACGGAGAAGGCCAAGGCCCTCCCTACCTCCCAGTGTCCGGCCTCTTCTCCGCAGTGCAGTCCCCTTTGCCCTTCTCCATCTCCTGCAGCAGGGCCAGCTGGACGGGGGTGTTCCTGCCGTCGCTGCTGGAGCTGCCCCTGTGCTGACGGCCCCGGCACTCGGACTGGGAGCTGCGTTTCATGGCCTGGAGCTGGGCCAAGGGCACGATGTCACAGCCCTGGGGCCGGTGCCACACCGTCTGCCGCGTGATGGCATTGTAGTAGTAGAAGCGGTTGTTGTTGTGGTCGAAGAGCTCCCACCACTGCTTCTGATCTGACTGGCGGACCTTCAGGTTGGGAGGGGGTTCCCAGCCGCACTCGCCTGTTGTCAGGTTGACATACATCCGCTCCTGAGAGCGGGGCTCGATGATCTCCACCCAGTCCGAGCTGCAGTGTGAACGAAAGCCATGTTAGTCTGGGCCAAAGGCTTGAGGCAAACGCAGTTTCTGGGAGTCCTGCAGCAGCTGCCTGCCTCCGGGTGAGAGAACAGGCAGCTGAGCCACAGATCAAAGCGTTACTCTGGGTTATTCAGTGATCTAACGAGCTCCGGGGGAGACGAGGGGAAGGCTTTGAGTTTGGGCCGAAACGGCACAGAAAAGGGGAGGTCTCCCTCTCCACCCCGGCCCCGGCACTCCCCCAACCACCCACCCGGGACAAGCGGCACAAGGGCACGTTTGCTGATGTGCGGGCAAATTAAATGCATCGCTGGTGTGATCAGAGGGGCACCGAAGCCTGGCGAGACGCGCTGCTCAGGGAGGGGTAAAGCAGGATCTGCTCCTTTTGGGAGCAGCACTCTGTTAATTCAGTGCAAGCCACCCTGGGAAACCAAACCTCCAGCTCCAGACAACTGGCCTGGTGGCTTCCTTGTATAAACAGATCTGCCAGCACAGCTACGTGTGCAACCGCTCCCTGACGCGTTTTGGCGGGGTTCAGCTGAACCAGGAATTCTCTCCTCGCCTGCACCAAGGCTGATGCGAGAGTTGCGCCCAGCGGGGCAACGCTTGGCTAAGCCGCCGCCGGGGCTGGTTGCGGCCAGGCCAGCGCTCAGTAACCCCACACATCCAGCTCTCCCCGTTGCTCTTTGCAGAGCTCACAGAAGCATTGAGCTTGGAAGGGACTTCTGCATCCTCTGCTCCATCCCCCTGCTCATGCCTGCTTGCAAGCCACCTCCCAAAAAAATAAGTATGGGGTAACAGAAGCAGGCATTTCAAGGGGTCAGGCCCCAAATCCCTTCCTCGCTCCAGTGCCCTGGGGTCACTCAAATCCCTGCTCGCTCTCTCGCTGGTTCTCCAGCCCCAGACAGGGCACTGCCTGCGCATGCAGCACAGCGAGGCAGGGGATCGACCCATCCCCTTGAGGCCTCTCCATGGCTGAAGAGCTCACCAAAACAACAGCAGCACGAGCAGCGTGAGCACCAGCTCGGCCTGCACCTCCGTGCAGCTGAAAGGATTATGAAGAGCAGGAGAACATACCCTAAAGCCCGGCCAGCTCTTCTGCAGTTCAAGGCCCTGCTAAAGTGAGAGATGAAGTCTGCACAAGCCCAAGTCCCAATGGCACAGCAGCAGGGAAGGTACAAACCCACGAACCAAAAGGGTCTGTGCAGAGCTCTGGCTCCGGAGGGAGCAACTGGACAAATCTCTCTCCATTTCAAGCCCTTCACTTCCCCCCTCGGCGGCCACGCTGTCCTGAGGAGGGAAAAATGCAGTTCGGAAATGCAAGTTGGGGGTGGAAGGATAAAGGAAGTAGGAAAAGACCCAGGCTGAAACACGCACACACACATACTGGGCTGGCAGGCTGCTGCTGACTAGCCTCCGGGCCAGGATGGAAGAGACAAAGTCCTTGCTGACCCTTTGGGCATAACATGAACGCGAAGGACAAGCACGACCTCCCGGTGCTCCGTAAGCTCGCTGCTGTGCGAAGGAGCGCGCTTCTAGCCCCCCGTTGCCTCCCGCTCCCTCGTCAGCCCTCGCGTCTGCCCAGCCGCGTGGCCAGACTGCTCAGCAAGATCATCCAGCTGAAGGCAATACACACGCGTTTGTAGGCGCATCAGCGCGCTGGTTTTTCGGCAGCAGCCACGTTGGACTACGGACTTCTGATGCATGGAGTTTGTAAGTCAGGCTTTTTAATGCTGAGAACACTGCCTTTAGGCACTCTGGGGACAAGTAAGGGAAGACAGCAGGTAGTGAAGTGAAAACCCCGTGAATTCCCGATTTTCAGTGCAACACAGACAAATACACTGCAGGCTTTTACACTAATCCATCTGCTCAGTCCTAGAAGGACCAGAAAGCTTCTCCCTTTGCTCCCCATGCACCATCTTTTCTTTCAGTTTGCTGGAGCCCAAACCATTTCTGCCGGCCCAGGTGAGCAGAGGCAGACAGCTGACAGCACAGGGGTGCAACCGCTGAGCAAGGACGTCTTCCCTGCAGAAGAGAGGCTGCTGCTTAAGCAGTGCTTCTCCCCAAACAGGTTCGCAGAACAACCAGGCGGAGCCCCCCCACCAGAGCAGAGGGAGGTAGCTCACTGCCTGCCGTCGGCCGGCTGCCCCAGCCGGAGCGTCCAAGCGCATAGCTGAAAACGGAGATAAACCCTACGTGCACCCCCCGCTTCTCCCCTCCTGCGCTTCCCTCTGCATAACCTGCAGTCCTGGCCCTCTGCCCTCCTCCTCCACCCTGGGCTGCAGGAAGGAGCTGCTTGCTTAATACAAGTTACTTGCGTTATTAATAAAAGCCATATGAAGAGGAGGGGACGTGTCCAGCGCCCACCCTTAACACACTCTCCTGCTGGGTGCCTCAAGGACAGGCACAGCTGTCGGCTACTCCCTCCCGCAACGCAGCACAAGTCGAGGGCACGGCCAGAGAAGTTGTTTCCGGAGGAGAGGCGGGATAACAGAGTTCCCGTCGCGCCCTTCCCTGCTCGCGCGCACGCTCTGCTGCTCCCGTTGCGTTGCTCCCAGGCCTTGCGCTGCTCCGGGTTGAGGATGTCACCACCACACGGACAGCACAACCAGAGAGGGGGCAGCCAGGACAGCCGCCGCACAGCCGCTCCCCCACCGCGGACAACCTGCTCCCCCACTAAGGACACATAAGATTGAACTGAGAGCTTCCTGCCTCTTCAGCAGCTCCAAAATGGCAGCCTTGGCACTCCCTGCACAGCCCTGCCTGGCACCAAAATAATTTTTGGCCAGCCAGCGTGGCGGCCCTCAGCTTCTCGCGCTGCTTTGTAGAGAAGCAGTCAGTGCGTCCGCTCCCACTTCCCAAGGCTAGGAGCGGGCTTAGGTGCACATAACACTTCCCCGCTAAGAAAGCGCTAGTATATATTCAGTGCTGAATGTCTGGCGTGGACCTCTATAAAACAGTTTGCTCCTTGACTCCTAGAAGGGGCAAAATTGATAGATATAAAGTCAGTTTAACTCAAAATAAATCTGCACTGCCTATGAAAGCTAAGGTGCAATTTGCCCTGCCACTGCAACTGCCTAACTAAGCTACGTTAGCATCCATGCCTCCCAGAGGGCTGATCACAGCTGGCCTGGTCCAGGAGCTGATCTGGCTGAAAGCCATTTCTGGCTGGATAGGTTAGTTTTTAGTCAGATCCATTCCCGGACCAGGTTATCTGCACCCCCACAAAAAGGCTAGCATCAGCACCACAGGCAGCTGGGAGCAAGCCAGCATCGCCTTTCAACAGCGGGGTGATTTCTGCCGAGCTCAGAACACTATGCAACCGCTGCTGGAGCTGGTGAGGGCTCTGCCAGGAGCACGCCTGTGAGCTGATCTGCCTCAGAAAATCATGTGTCCAGAAAATACTTGTTTCTCGTTCCAACCGGAGCAGTCCCTCAATGTGATGCAAGGTGCAACACAGAGACAGCTGCACCAGCGCCACGTACCATGGCTCAGGGATGGGAATCCCAGTGCTAACCTGGTATTTCCAGGCAATTGCAGTGTCCAACTATAGTCACAGGAGAAGGAACAAATCAGGAAGTCACTCCTGTTATAAAGGGCACTGTAAACTGCAAAGAGAAAGCATCCATAAACAGGGCATAAAGGAGGAAAATAAGGGCAGCAGAAACAAAGCACAGCAGTGTTGGAAGGAGTGTGGGAGAAGAGCACATCCAAAGAGGCAGCAGCAGCAAAGTCCAGTTAGGATAAGGTACTGGAAAAGAAGGTCTGATGGACAGTTAGAGTTGCTCAAAGCGGGTACCAACGGAGCAGGAACCTCTGAGATCATTGGAAATCTTCACAAGAGCAAAGGCAGTCAGCTGGGAAAGGGGCATAAGGAGGAACGGACTGAAAAGGGGAGTCCACTCTCGGCAGTGCACCTGGCAACTTCTGGTGGGGAGAGGCTGCTTCCAGTACTGGAAGGAGATGTGATTTTAAAGGTTATCAGAAGGTGGAGAGCATGGCATACTTCCCTTGAGAGGGGAAGAAAGAGGAAGGGAGGAGAGCAGCTGTTGAAAGGGCTAGAAGAGGAAAGTAGACACGATGTGACATACCACACCGAGAACAATACAGAGAAAGGAGGAAGCTATATAGTACTCACGTGGCAGAAAAAGCCTGCAAAGCATCCAGTTGAGTGATCAGACTTTTTAACATTCAAGAGCATAATGCTTTTGATCTGTTTTGCCAGCAACTGGGTTAGCAAAACTCAGCTCTGAAACACCAACCAGCTCTACCAGCATTGTTACTCCTTGGGAGAGAGGAGAGGTCAGCTATTTTCTGCGAAGTGCAAGCTATTGAAAATAACCAACTCTTTTCATGGCACTTGGCCACAATCAAGTGTGTGTTGCTAACTATAGTCTTCCGTTTTAACAAGCTTACATTTAATCTTTGCGTGCAAAGACACACAAGTGGATGACTTGGGCTTGTGACCTTTTTACTCCCCTTAAAATCAAGAGTCTAAGGATTACTGAGATGCAGTTTAACAAGGGAAAAATCTGCACAGAACACATTGAAATACCAAAGAGTTTGTTACAATCACATTCATATGTAAAGAAAGAAAAGGAAAAGCAAGGAGCACATTCCTGGAGCAAGGCCAACACTGGGCTGCCACACAAGTTTAGAACATAACATCAGGAACTCTGGAAAGACGTGATAAACCCAGGATTTGAGAGAGATAAGCACATAACTTAGACATTAAAAAAAAAAAAAGTAATTCAAACTCAGCTTAATGGAGAAAAAGAAGTGTCCCAGCAACAGTCGGAATAATATTTTTTCCTCACCCTCTCCGCTTCAAGCGCTAGACAACGTAGAAGCTATTGACTGTGCCTGATTCACAGCTCCCCTATTTCAAACCCCCGCAACAGGCAGTGCTCTGTTGTGGGCTTCTGTATCTCACCTATAGGATCACTAGGATGTTCCCCATCTCTCTGTTTTCTTAGGACTGGATGTCTCTGG